GCTGCCCATTGGCAGGGTAGTCAACGTGATAGACGACATCTCGGGCCATGGCATAGGCACGCGAAGGCTGGTTGCAGATCAGATCGCCAGGTTCGCGAAGGGAGTCGCCACCATGCTCGGAGAGAAGAGGCTCCCCATCAACTGGGGAAAGACCAAGGCACTGGCCTCCTCGGTGAAGTTGAGGAGAGAGCTGCAGCAGCACGCCGACTGGGTCCTCGCCGACGAGGCCTTCGTCGCTGGACACTGCGACCTAGGAGGAGATGCGACGGCGGGAGGCCACCGGGGGGTCGGGACGCAAGTGGCCAGGGAGTTGGCGGCTCTGCGGCAGGGCAACAACATCACCAGGATCTTCGGCTCGGGGATGAGGCAGGCCAAGATCCAGAGGGCAGGCCCCGCTGCCAAGGCTCTATGGGGCTCGGCCATCAACGGGATCCCGCCAGGTCGCATGAGGGCGCTAAGGATCGCTGCGGCGAAAGCGGCCTGCAACTTGCCTACGGGCGCCGCGTTGACTTTCTGCCTGCAGTGTGCGCCCCAGGGCTGGAGGCAGGATCCGCTGGTGATCGCGACGGGGCTAGCGGTCCAGGCTTTCGTGGCCATGAGCTGGTCAGGACAGGCCTCTCCAGCCGCTGTGCAGGCCTGCCTCAGGGACAGCAGGCGCCTAGCCTCCATGCAGAGATCGCGGGCCGCTGTGCGGGACCCCGTCTCGGCGCTGGTGCTCGCGCTCGGGAGAGTCGGCTGGGGACTCAGCGATGGTGGACGCGTGCTGACAGACAGGGAGGGTTACAGGTTTGATGTCATGAGGTTCTCGCCTGCCTTCCTCGCCGCCAGGGTCAAAGAGGACGCGCGCCAGGCGGCTTCGCTCGAGGAGTACGTCAGCAGGCCCGAGTCCTGCTGGCAGTGGAGGCTGCCGCCTTGGTGGACGCCGATCAACCAGCCCCTCGGGGCCAAGGAGTCGGTAACCTGGTCAGCCCACCACAAAGGCTGCTTGCGACGCTTGGCGTCCCTGGCCAGCTGGCCCCAGGCGCGGCTGGCGAGGCATGGGAGAGAGATCGACCCGCTTTGCAGGCTCTGCGGGACAGCCCCAGGGACGATGCACCACAGGCACCACGAGTGTCCAGCCTGGGAGGCCTGGAGGAGGGACTACTGCCCGAGCCAGGTGAGACGGGCAGCTGGGCAGGCCCACCGCATGGGGCCTCCCTTCGACGAGCTCTTCAGTCAGGGGCTCTTCGTGGACATCAGCCTCCTAGTGGCCAGGCCAGCCTGGAACGACAGCTGGGCAAGACGCTCCTGCGGATGGGGGGGCGGCATTCTGGTGGTGCCCGATGGGTCCTTTGTCTTCATCGACGGCTCGTGCCTGAACGGAGACTTCCCGCACGTCAGGAGCGCTGGCTGGGCGGTCATCGTTCATGGGCCAGATGGGAGGCTCATCGCCGAGGCGTGGGGCGCCGTGCCCCCCAACGACCTCCCGTCGCAGACGGCCAAGGCAGGAGAAGACTACGCAGCAGCCATCGGGCTCGCAGACATCATTGGGAACTACACGCTGCTCAGTGACTGCCTGAGCACGGTGAAGGCTGCTTCCAACCTGGCCAAGGCCTGCGGACCCAGCTCCCTGCACGCCCATGTTTGGGCCAGGGTGGGGGATGCGGCGGGGGGAGTCACCATTCGCCATGTGCCCGCCCACCGCTCGGAGGCCGCGGCGCAGGACGGGGAGCTCACCCTCTTCGAGCTCGTGGGCAACAGGAGAGCCGACACCAGGGCAAAGGAAGGTGCGGCCTTCCACGCCATTGAGGAGCAGGACGCCCTGATGCTCGAGGGCTGCCTAGCTAGAGCGAAGGAGGTGGCCAGATGCGCGGCGGACCTTGACGTGCACATCACTGAGTCGGGGCACAGGGGCTCCTGGCCGCTCACCTCCCTGGACCTCGTGGACCTGGACCCATTCGCCCCGTCGCCTGACTGGGAGCAGCTGCTGAAGGACGAGAACTCGGCTGCCCGCGCCCCTGGCGGGCTGGCGGCCCTTGGGGCGGCAGCAGGGCTCGCGACGGCAGCGGCGGCTTGCCAAGGAGACCAGGCCCAGGACCAGGTAGACAAGCAGGCCCGCAAGAGGAAAGGATCTTGTGAGGGCCAGGCAGAACCCAGTGAATCAGTAGCTGAGGCGTCGAACGCGTCGGCGGCATTGCTTCGTGCTTTCCAGCGCCGCCGCGCCGAGAAGGCAGAGCAGGCAGCGACCTCGGCCGCGGGCTCACAGGGCCCGCCCTCGTCGGCTGTGTCGCAGTCTCTCCCCTTCTTCCCCGTTTGGGCCGCGGCCAGTCACAAAAGTGCCCCCGCAGCGACCTCGGCCGCGGGCGCACAGGGGCCGCCCCTGTCGGCTGGGTCGCAGCCTCTTCCCTCCTCCCCCGCTTTGGCCGCGGTCAGGCCTCGGAGAGCCCCCTCGGGTCCTGCTAGCCAAGGGCGGACCCCAGGGACCCAGAGGGCGAGACCCGTCGGCCCGATTTCAGGGGTCTCGGCTGGGTGTAATTCGAGTGCGGCCCTGGCCCAGGACGACCCTGTCGAGACGGGAGCCTGGGAGGTCAACGGACACAGTCTGCGTGAATCTCGAGTTTCGGGCGGAGTTGGCCCCGAGTTTTTAGTTTGTGTGGTGTGCTGGATGTACTGTCTGAAACCCCAGTACTGCCACAGGGGCCTTGCCAAGGCCTGTGTCGGGGCCCAGAGCGCTGACGACCCCAGGGCCAAAAAGGGCTCCAGGGCGCAGGCGGGACATGATTTCGCGAAGTCGATCCTGCCTGGAAAATCCAAGCAGCCGATTGACCAGCTGGCTCGGCCCACAGCGGCCACCCGTGCCAGGTGGGCCGTGGTGCTCGGCACGGTCGCGGGCCCAGACGCCGTGGAGGACCCTGTGGCCTCTGCAGGCTCTAGGGCCCCAGACGCGGAGCCCCCAGTGATGCGGGATCGGGCACCCGCCCCGCCTGCCCATGAGAGGCTGGTCCGCCCAGGTCTCGAGGGAGCCCTGGGCTCCTTTGGCTTTGCCAGCGCTGCTGAGGCTCAGGAGCGAGGCAAGGCTTCCCGTGCGGCCAGTGCGTCGGACCCCAGGCCTGTGGTCGGGCGGAGCGCGGAGTGACGGTCGCGCTTCGGGGTCTGGGCCTGGTCGGCTGCGGGCCCGTGCAAGCGCTGTTTGCGGGGCCGTAAGTCGGCGGCCGAATTTGGTGTGCACCAGGGTGATATAATAACAAATAATAAAAAATACCCTCACCCTATGGTAGCGGGAGTCGTGGGCCCCCCGTGCCCCCGCCGTGACCACGCGGAGAAAGCAAGGGCGTTGGACGATGCTGCCTCTTTGGGAGGCGAGTCAGGGAAACCACCGAGACTGTCGTCACGCAGGGGGGTGCGAGTGGCCATCGCTTGCCTTGCCTTCCTCCCCCTCCTCCTACCCCTCCTCCTGTCGCTCTTGCTGTCCCTCTTCCTGTTCCTCCTCTGCCCTACTCTCCTCTGCCCTCTTTTTCTTCCTGCCTCTGCCCTCTTCCTCCTCTGCCTTCTTCCTCTTCCTCCTCCTCTTCCTCCTCTGCCCTGCCTCCTCCTCTGCCCCACTCCTCTTCCTGCCTCTGCCCCCTTCCTCAACCTCTTCTTCCTCTGCCCCCTTCCTCTTCTTCTTCCTGCCCTCCCTCTTCCTGCTTACTCTCTGTTTCCCTCCTGCTCCTCCTCCTCCTCCTCCTCCTCCTCCTCCTCCTTCTCCTCCTCCGCCCCCTTGCGCGAGAGAAGCATTGTCCAGAGCTGCCTGATCTACGCGTGGGGAGGGACACCCATGCAGCGGAGAGCGGTGCCAAATATTCGACAATGTATCTGTAAACTGCACTTTCACGGGCCTGGGACGTTGTGACCCGAAGCGACCCGCGTCACCCAAGACGTCATTCCAGAACGGCATGTTCTGGTAAGGTCCAGGCAGGCAAGGAGAAAGAGCGTCGTTCACCAATATTCCACCTCCTCCTCCTCATCCTCATTCTCTCCGTTCTCCTTCTCCTGCTGACGCTTCTTTTCCTGATCATCCTGTTCCTGCTCCTCTTACTCTCTCTCTGTCTGCCTCTCTCTCTTTCCGTCTTCCCGTCATTTTGTTCTCTCTCTCTCTCTCTCACTCTCTCTCTCTCTCTTTGTCTCTCTCTCTCTCTGTCTTTCTGCCTCCGCCACCTCGGCCTCCGCCTCCGCCTCCTCTCCCCGTTCCTCCTCCTTTTCCTCCTCCTCCTCCTCCTCCTCCTCCTCCTCCTCCTCCTCCTCCTCCTCCCCCTCCTCCTACCACCGATCTCCATGACGACCGATGGGGGCTCGGAGATCGTGACGGGCGCACGCCCAGCCGTGCCTTTCCCAGCTCGCGCTGCGGGCCCTGGAGCTCTCGGCCCCGAGGAGGGTCTCGAGCGACAGCGCGACTCCCCAACCGACTCGCGAGGGACTCCACGGAGAGAGCGTGCTTCCCGAGTGTCGAGGGCGCGGCGCCCGAATCAAGTGCGAGGAGGTCCCACGCGAGAGTGCGCTTCCTGCACAGGGGGCCCCACACAACGCCGAAATCGAGCAAAAGGCGCGCGGCGTGCTTTTGGAGGTCCCCTGGGGGTGTGGGGGGATGCCCTGATTTCCGACGATCAGTTTTTTGGAACCCAAGCGTTTTCCATCGATCTCGGCCTCCGGGGGCCCTTGCCAGGCCCCGGGGCCATCAAAACACCAGATCCGGGACGAAAACTACCCCCAGGGAAGGTCGGCACCTCTGAGGCTGCGCATTGGAAGGATCACCTTGCCGGATGCCTGGCAGCAGTGATGACGGGAGGGCGGGGCACGCCGCCTTCTTGGCACCCCCGTCCAGCAGATTCACCGAGCACACGTCCACTGGCGACGAAGACGACGACGGCGGCGGCGGCGACGACGGCGGCGGTGGCGGCAGCACCGGCGACGGCGGTGGCGGTGACCGCGGTGGCGACCGCGGCGGCGATGACACCTCACTCGGCCGGCGGGGAGCCCCGCGCCTCTGCGGGACCTGCAGCAGCTTCAGCGCCCTGGCGCCGCCCATGTCGCCCAGCTTCGCGGTCGTCAGGCGGATGACCACCCCTGCGCCCCCCCCATCGGCGGCGAGCCCTGGGAGCGTGCAGAGGGGGTGGCCCTTCTGTCACAAGGCCTGGAAGAACTCCGGCCTTCGGAGGAAATTTCGGAGCCTGCTCTGGAGACGTAGGCGGCTTCTCAGAATGCCAGAAGGCGTCTGGGGCCTACTGCGGGGTCGGACAGCTTTTTCCCGTCGGGCGGGCGCGCTCCCCCCCCACCCCCTGCAGGCGGAAGGAAGTGGCAACAGAAGCGTGGGTCAAGGACGTGAGCCCCTCCCCCTGAGTGGCCAAACATCATGGACAGACCCAGGAAGAAAAAACACTGCAGGGTGGAGGGTCCAGCGCTATGAACAAAAGACCGTTCCCAACCCTAGTGCCAAGGGCGCGCGGGTTGAGGATCCAGGGAGGAAGAAAGCGGACAGAAGATGAACGGCTTCCGGCATTTCCAAAGATTTTGCTCGGCCGCCGGAAGCCCTCGATGCGATTCGATTGGATGGGGGCTGGGGGCAGGCGACAAAAGTTCCCCAGGGATCCGATGCCGTTTTTTCTCCGGTACGTCTACCATTCTGCCTATCCGTCGCCCCTGCGGCAGGGGCCCTGCCCTCCCAGCGCGCGCGCGTCGTGCGCGAGAGGACTGCGGAACGATGGGGGCGCCGTGGGCCAGGGCCACCTTGGGCAGCGCCCGGCAAGAGGCGCCCTGGCCCATGGCAGGATCCGCCCGCATCCAATCGGGACACTGGACCAGATCGGAACGTGCGTCGGCTCGGGCTGCGTCGGCCCGGAATCTACATCGAATCGGATCGGCTGCGCCAGGATGCACAACGGCGCCGTGCACGCGGCGGGCCGCGTCGGATCGTCGGAACACAGTGCGGGAGCGATCGCAAGACAACCTCGCAATAAACCCAAACCTGAAAACCCGCGCGCGAGGTGCACCTGATGGGGAAACCCAGAGCACCCTGGACGCAACAAATTCTCCAACCGCTGCGGGAAGTCACCGCGCAGCGCGCGGAGCGAAAATCCAGGACACCCAAATCGAAACCCATGCGGTTTCTTGATGCGCCCTCCCAGTGCATCGGGATCGAATCAGATCGTCCCGGCCGGAACTGATACCGGACCGTACCGATCGGATCGACGTGGGCCCAGCACGCTGAGCCCCCAAGGCCAACCGCGCCGGGCGAGGCCCCTGGCTCGCGTGGACGCCCGGGGCCGCCAGCGTGGCTCGGAGGCTGGGGACTCGCGCCCCGGACCCCTACGGCGGCTCCAGCTCTGACGAGCTCCTGCCCCCCTCCCACCGAACGGGCGCCTGGTGCCCAGAGATCCGACGTTCAGACAAACTTTGAGGTTTTTTTTTTTGTGTGTGTGTGTGTGTGTGTATGTGCATATATATATATATATATATATATATATATATGTATATATATATACATATATATATATATATATATATATATATCAGTTTTCGGCCTCCAACGGGCCTCGCTGGGCCTCGGGAGCGTCAACAAAAACAACTCAGGAAGAAAAACCAACCCTGGGGAAGTGGTCCGGACCTCCCGGGCCGACGCACCAAAAAAAAATTGAGCGGCCGGATGTCTGGGCACTGTCGAACCGCAGAATGAAAACGCGCGAGAAGGATGCAGAGGCCTCTTACTGCCACGTCGACACCCTGCGAGCGGGGCGCGGCCAGCGAAAGCGGTCCCGGATGAGCCGAAGGGGAGGGATGCAAGGGCAACCTTGGAGAGTCGCTCGTCCTTACGGGGGCCCCAATTTATATGTACATCCATATCTCCACCGCCCGCCGAGGTCTCCCAAAATCGATCCTCCGGGCGGTTGTCGTGTACAAATCCTCGCCTCGGACCGCAGCGAAGGGCCCTCCCCCTGCTGACCCAGCGGGCGGTGGATATGCATAGTTAGCTGGGCCCCCAGTGGGCCGAAGTCTATCCGCCTTCGCCGCCCGCCAAGGTCTCCGAACATCGCTGCTCCAGGCGGTGGCTCTATGTATAAATCCCCGTCTCGGACCGAGGAGGAGGCCCTCGGCCCTCGTGGCGCGTGGCTGGCGCCCGATGTGTCCATGGCCATCACCTGTACACCACACCTCAAACTACTGGACGCGCTGCTCGCGCCTACCGACGAGGAGAGCCCTCCTCCTGCTGCTCCGCGCGGGGGGGGGGGGGGGGGGAGCACCGCCCGCGAAGGGTCGTCACACACCGGGTGCCGCGGCCTCGCGGGAGTCTGCCGGCACCCCTGCGGAGGAGAGAGCGCCTCCGAGTCAGCGGCGGCGGCCTCGCCGCTCGCGTCGCGCAGGGCGCGGGGCCCTAAAAGTATGCACCGCCACCGCCTCCATTCCTCCTCTCTCCTTTAAGCTCCGTCGGGCACCCCCTGGCGTGCGATTCTCTCTCCCTCTCTCTCTCTCTTCCCGCTTGCGCGTGCGGGGCCCAGGTCCCGCGTGCGCCCCGCGGCTGCAGCGTGACGTGACAGCGATCGGCTTGCCCTTCCAGGGAGAGGGAGGGGGTGAGGCAGGTGGTGGTGGTGTACACTCTTGGGGTCCGTACAGGGCGCCCCCCCGCCGCGAGAGTGAGAGCCCCTCCCGCTCTCGGCCAGGGGCCCCGTGGCCCGGGCCTTCGCGCCGCGCTGGCAGGCGACGCGAACCACTCCTGCCCGCAGGTCGAGGATCGCAGATCGAGGCTCCGGGACGCCTGCCGCGTGCCTGCCGCTGGGTGCCCTTGGGGGCCCTTGGCGCAGGGGTGGTGCCTCCTGCCAGCGGGGCCCTGGGCTGCGCTGCGTCTGGGGCGGCCCTCTCTCTGGGGGCGGCCCTCCCCCCCCCCCAGAGCTGCCCTCACCCCGAGGCCGCGTCGGGTGTCGCGGAGGGGGCCCCCCACCATGACCGCAGGCGCCACGCACTGGGTCCGAATGGATGGTCAGAGGATCGTGCCGCATCGCCGATGCCTCGGCGACGTCGGGGTGGAGAAAGAAGCTGGCCCCACATCGCCGACGCATCGGCCATGCGGCGCTGTGCTCGCCCCGTGTGCTCGGACCCCATGGGCCCCATGTGGAAGGCCACTGTCAGTGCTCGGGCCGCAGCTCGGGCCTCTGGGGCGGTCTCTTTGGAGCGATAGGCGTGCACGCCCTCGCCAACGGCTCCCCTCGGCGAGGCGCAGGGGCTGGAATCGGAACCCCGTGGCCAGAGAACCGCCGAACACCCGCGAGAACAGCTGGAAACCTCGAGCGCCGAAGGCTGAGCAGTTGGAAGCAGAGGCGCGGGCGGCAGTGGCGACGAGAAAGCTGCGGCGTGGGCGGCTGTGCGAGCTCAGCGCGTGGCCGCGGCCACTCTCGCGCCCAGGGCGGGATGGCGCACGGGCCTCCCCCCTGGCCGTTGGCAAGCCCTCGTGCCCCGACCCCTGTCCAGCCCATGGGGGCCCGCGCCCGCCGAGGCAAGCGGCGGGTTCCCAGGGAGGGACGGCAGCCAGGCGGGGGCTCCTTCGGGCGTTGGAAGGTTTGCGCCATCCCGCGGCGGCGGCGGCCACAATAGGTTGCGCAACCACTCCCGCCCGGCATGCTGTCCCGCCCCCCCCCCTACGTGCCCACTTCGCCCTCGCTGCAGGCAGAGCCGGAGTGCGGCGCTGTGCTGCGCTGGGCAGGGCTGAGACTGAGAGCTGAGTAGATCGGAATGACGGCAAGTTGACCTGGCGGTGCTTCGCTCCCCCCCCTGTCCTTTCCCCTCCAAAGTTGGGTGCTCCGCGTTTGCTGCAGGTAGAGCCAGAACGCGGCGCTAAGCTGAGGCTGAGATGTGCGGGCGTTCAAGGGAAGGGCTGGAGCTGCATGCCAATGCTGCGCATGGGATGCACATCGGGAGCGCGGCGGAGGAAAGCGTGGCAACGGCGCTGCGTGCCAAGCGGGAAGGACTTTGTGGAGAGGGGTGGCTGGGCTTGCCTTGGCCTAGGCTGTAGAAACTGGGTGCGGCGGTGGAGCCAGCGAGGGCTAGGCGGCAGTGCCTGTGCGCCGCGGCCGCCCTGGCCCTTGCCAAGACAGCTGGCGGTGAGGTCCTCTTGCCTCCCACCCCAGTGCGGACCCCCCGCCCGCCCCGCCGCCACGCGAGTGTGGAGGAGTGGGTTAGGTGGGCGAACGGCGGATGAGGCGGGGCATAAAGGGTGGAGGTGGAGCCAGGAGCCAGGAGGGTGTAGGTTGGGCGAGGGCTCTCTCAGGTCGTCGCCTCCGACGCCCCAGCACTGAGCTTAAGATTACAGCCGCCACCAAGGAGGTACATAAGAGAGCTCAATCCACCGGTCCTGGAAGTAGGTTGTCCCACCTATGCGGCCACATGCGGTTGGTGCTTTCGCAATGCGTCGGGTGATCAGCATGCGTGGGTGGGAAAGCCACGGCGGGTTTGGGAGCCCTGTATGATCGTGGACCCACTGCATATCATGGCCTGTTGTAGCTGTAGCCGCCGTAGATGCACATGGCGCGTCCGAAAAGCGGTGGGTGAGAAAGCCACGGTGGGTTTTTAAGCCCTGTCCTGTGTTAACGTGGGCTCGCTATCTTTGCGCCTCCTGAAGTTGCCGCTGTCGCCGTTTGCTGGTGCGGCCGTCGTCTGGGAGTGGGCGTGTTGGTAGTCTTGTGTGCCATTCGAAGAAGAAGTAGACACAGAAGAAGAAGAAGAAGAAAAAGAAAAAGAAAAAGTCCAGCTGCGGCTGGTGGTGGTGGTGGTGGTGCTGCTGCTGCTGCTGCTGGTGTGACAATGAATGCGTTGGTTTGGGTACATGCACGGGTTGCGCAAAAGTCGGAAGACGGTCATGGGACAGCTGGTAGTGCCTGTGGCGACCTGAGCGGTTGGGTGGGCACTGCGGTCGCTGGGCGCAAAAACAGTAACGGTGGAGTTTGAGAGTGACGCACTGACGGCCCTCTGTACAGCAGGTCCCGTCTCGGCATGACAGTGGCGTTCTCCTCTCAGCCGTCGTTATAGCGAGGTGGGAAGGTGGGTTGTGCATGCTCTTTCCCAAGGTCGGATCAATCATGCACTGGGGTGGGCGTCGTGTTTAAACCAGTCATACTGACGGCATGATCGCTGCAAGGTTCTCCGCGTCCAGTGCGGTTTCCGTGTGCTTGCGTCGGCTGCAATCGCTGCTGGTGCTGCTAGCCACGTCAACTTCCGCCTTGATGTAGCCCACGTTGTCGTAGCCAGGGTCGTACTCATCCTCGTGTTCGGCCTGAATTGCCGCAGTGCCGGAGCGCAGTGCTGGGTATCTTGTGCCGAATGGGTAAGACTTCGCTGCTGGGCGTATGACTGTCCGTTGTCGTGAGGTGTGTGTGTGTGTGTAGGGGTTGCTGCAGGGGCTGGTTGAAAACCCTGCTGTTCATCGTGGGGGCGAGTCCCCGCGTGATGGGGTCGGCGGTTGGCATCATATCGTGGCCACTGTGGGTGGCTGACGTGGTGGTGGATCCCTGCTGGTGGTTATGGTCTGTTCGACTTTGTGCTGGTGGGTCGCAACTGCAGCCTAGGAAACACATTCTCCTAACGCCGCCACACACGCCCATGCCGATCCACACCATGTTGGGGATATCCACGCTCATGCCGCCTGCCATTTGTAGCGCAGGCGTGTTACATGTGGACCGCACTTGGTATTCCTAACGCCGTGCCGTTGCTTCGGCTTGTACACGCCCGCCTTCGACGTGCGTTAATTCACCATGCAGTGTCGGAGAAAACGTGACACATCCCTCTGTGTTGAGAACGCATGGCGACTATGACGGATGTTATCCAACCGTGCAAACATTCGGTGATTTCTCTTGTGTAACGTGCCAGCTCGAACCACCACGGCAAATTGTGAGGACGTCTCGAACGAAACAGAGCCGAAACCATGCCAAGCGAGGGAGAAAGCAAGCAACTGATGAGGACGTCTCAAGCGAAACCGGGCCCACACTAGGCCAAACCAGGGCGAAACCAAGTAACATCCAAGGACGCCTCAAGCGAAACCAGGCCCAAACCATGTCAAACCAGAGCCAACCCAAGCCAATTCTGAGGACGTCTCAAGCCAAGCCGTGCCCAAATCAGGCCAAACTGGGGGCCAAACCAGGCACATTGAGGATGTGTCAGGCGGGGCGCGCGGCCTAACCAGGCCAAACAAGCCACACTAGTGGCCAAACCATGGACCAAACCAGGCAGGATTTGAGGAAGTCCCAGGCAGAATCGCTCAAGCCAGGCTCCTTCCACTCCTGGATAAGTTTACAATTAAAGGAGTGGATCACCGCAGGGCAACCCCACGCAGGCAGAAACCAGTTCAGGATTTTATGGGGGGGGGGCGTTTGGACAGCGTTCCCGCAGATGCGGGCGGGGTGGGGTGCAGAAGCTTTCATTTGTCTTTCAGGCGCTATTCGGGCGTTGGTGTGGCGCTCGGAGAAATACTTCCGAGCCTGTAGAGCTCGTTGGGCCTGTCGCGGTGCCCTTGGAACTGGGGCCGTTCGTCGGGCCCGGCAGTAGGTAGTGGTCGTCGGGTTCTTGGTCCGTCCGTCCTGCTGCGGGGGCGGCTGGGCGATTGGCGTCATGGTACTGAAGCAGGTAATCCATCCAGTAGATATTGTCGTTGGCGATGTCCATCTAGAAAGAAGACGTAGATATTAATGTTGGTGTCCCGTCGGGTTGTAACGCAGGCCGAGCTTGGCATAGCTGTAGATCTCGTCGCCATCACGTCGGGCGTGGTACATGGTAAGCAGATTTCTGCGGTTCTCAGCCGCTGGGCATGCGGGAATGTTGCACAGCTGGCTAATGATGAAGCGCACTAGCAACGTCTGGTTGGCCGTCATGTTGAAGGGCGGGGCGCGATTACTGGTTGGCTCACCCAAACTGTTGCGTAAGGCTTCGCTGCAGTAGTGATCGACCTGGTCGTGCTCGAGGCGGTCAATGCGCTAGGGGTCCAAAGCGTGGCCGTACAACGTCTTAGGATTGTTGATGTTAGCGATGCAGTCGCTGATGAGTTTTCGGTTCGTAGTGGATGCTGCTAGTGGTGTCAACTAGGGTGCCGATCGCGTCGTGTTGGATGTCGGTTGGCACGGCCCCCATGCGAATGCCGAGAGAGCTCCCTCGTACACTGTAGTCATGCCTGCGGTGTCCATTGGCCTGGTTTCCCTCTTTGTTGGAAAAGATTTTGCAAGGAATGTGAACGTTTGGTCCCGCGACTGCTCCTCCTGCTGCTCTTACTCCTCGTGCTCCTCCTGTTCCCCCTCATCTTCCTCTTCCCGCTCGGGCACCGCCGCACTCTTCGTTCCTCACGTTTTCTTGTTTTTACACTTTCTGTCGCAAACCCGTTTCAGCCCCTTCGATGTCTTCATCTGGATATCCGTGCCCATTTGAGGCTTCCCTCTCGTCCTCCCGTTCTCTTTCTCTTTTCCTCCCGCCACCTTGGCCTCTTCCACCAACCTCCGTGCATACAATCGGCCCTGGGCCGGAAGAACATCCCTCAAGAACATGAGACCCTCCACTGGCCAAAACACACGGAACATCCAAGGGCACCCTCCCCCAGGATGCACAAGAACATCCAACTATACACGAAGAGCACTAGAATACCCTCCCAGAACCAACCTCGATCCTACACCTCGTTCCGACTGCACTGCGCCCCAGCATTCGCCCGCCGCCGCCCCGGGGTCCGAGCGAGGCAACCACATTTTCGGGACTGTCCCTCTCGAACAGGTCGACCTGCCATCTCCTCAGTGCGCAGCACCCCGTGGCACCGACCACGCGTCAGGAGAGGAGCGTGCGCGGCTGCACAGACAAGCGGCGGCACGCCCGTCCGCCTCCTGCCAAACGCCGTCAATGAGGTCATCACGCGCCAATATGCCACCGCCGCCGTCACCGCCGTCATCGCCACGCGCCAGTGGTGAGGAGAGAACGTGCCAACATGTCGCTGCCGCCGTCATCGCCACCGCTGCCAAGTTCCCGTTGATTCCCCGCACGGTGCTTGCCTCTGGGGCTTCTGATTGTTTTCTAAAAAGGCTAAGATGGGTCTGGCGAGGTTGCGCCTCGTTGCCGCCCGTTGCAGTCTCGTTGCCGCCTCGTGCGCTGACTTGGGCCAGCGAAGCTTCGCCCACGTCGCCGCCCGTTGCCGCCCCGTGCGCTGGGTGGGTCCCGCGAAGTCTCACGACGTTGCCGCCTCGTTGCCGTCTCGTTGCCGACTCGTGCGCTGGTTGCGTCGGGCGAGGCTTCGCCACGTGGCCGGCCGTTGCCGCCTCGTTGCCGCCCCAGCGTGAATGCGAGCGCGAGTCTTAACAACTACTACGAGGATCACTTTCCGGATGTCTGTGAGCGTGTCTGCCAGTCTCATGATGGGTGCGGTACGAAACATGTTGTGCAGCTATGGGTGAACACAGGTGGTTGCGAGTGCATGCGTTGTGAGCGAGCGAGTGTGAGTGAGCATGTGTGGGAAGCAGGGAGGATGTGGAAGCATATCTCCAACGGCAAGAGTCCCATACACAGGAGACGGGGGAATCATTGAAAGGCGGACGGCAGCGAAAAGTGCCGGAAGGCGACCCTGTCCTCCCCAGCGGGCTGTTCACGTCCACTTGGCCTGCGTGCGGCCCCCGGGCGCGACAGAACTGGGTGCGAGTCGCTTGGGGTTCCACTCCTTCCCGCCCTCCGCCCTCTCCGCCTTCCTGTTGTGCTCCTCTTCCTTCTGCACTTCCTGCAATGCCACGCGACTCCACACCCTCACGCCGCCACCCTCAAAGAGAAACACTCACTGGCCTCGAGGAAGGAAACTCTTTGGCCTAGACCGCGAATCCCCAAACCGTTCAACATCGATCCCGGGGCCCAGAGAGGGGTCGGCGAATGCTGTAGCATTTGCGCACGTAGCATCAGAAATCGTCCCCTAAGAGTTTCCCGTACTTGCTACTTCGATGCTACGTGTACACACTCCTTATTGACGCGGTTGACGCAATCTTCTGTGATGCTGGTGGTGCGTAGGAATCGGCTCACGTCGTCGGCCCATTGCTTGGACAGTATGTGTTCGGTTCAGATGCAGTAGCTAAGACAACCCATCTGTCGAATTCAGGCGCTGCCGCGCGAGATGCCGACGAGAGGTGGAATGATGACAACTTGAAGCCGAGGGCAGACTTCGTACGACGAGCAACACGAACACAGCCACGGAGCACGCCTCACGGGACGCCAGGAGGATAAGGCTGCGGATGAGGAGAATCAAGGGATAGGACAAAGGGGGGAGGGAGGATTGAAACCTCAGGATGGTTCCTTTTCGTGGCCCCCAGAGGCCCTCGGATACCTTCAGACGCCCCCTGCGGACCCCCATATACCTTCATAGTGAAACATCAGAAAGAGAAGACGGGATTCAGGGTCCCCTAATCAGCTCAGGGATGTCCAGGGAAACCGCGGAGGCCAAGGGGTCTTGGAGGTTCTGAATGTGGGGTGCAGGGATAAGGATGAGGAGGGAGCAGTAGTGGTGGTAGTCGTAGTAGTACTACTAGTAGTAGTAGTAGTAGTAGTAGTAGTAGCAGCAGAAGCAATCGTAGTAGTAGTAGTAGTAGTAGTAGTAGTAGTAGTAGTAGTAGTAGTAGTAGTAGTAGTAGTAGTAGTAGTAGTAGTGGTAGTAGTAGTAGTAGTAGTAGTAGTAGTCGTGATAGTAGTAGTAGTAGTAGTAGTAGTAGTAGTAGTCGTAGTAGTAGTAGTAGTAGTCGTAGTCGTAGTCGTAGTCGTAGTCGTAGTCGTAGTCGTAGTCGTAGTCGTAGTAGTAGTAGTAGTAGTAGTAGTAGTAGTAGTAGTGGTAGTAGTAGTAGTAGTAGTAGTAGTAGTAGTCGTGATAGTAGTAGTAGTAGTAGTAGTAGTAGTAGTAGCAGTCGTAAACAATAATGGTAATAGTCGTCGTAGCAGTAGCAGAAGTAGTAATCGTAGCCGTAAACGTAAGAAAAATAGATGTCGTCGTCGTAGTAGTAGTAG